ACACACACACACACACACACACACACACACACACACACACACACGTGCGCACCAAAGAGTCAATGACGTGGTGAATAGATCCACGAGCCAAAGAAGTTAAAACCATGGGAAGGATTCTCTGGTTTTCACTGAACCTGTTGTAAATGGCAAGGAGCCCATTGAGATGCTTTTAAACCCAGCTTCAAATGCATCACATATGCTACACCCAATTTGAGACGGCGGTCTCTTCCAGAACACAGCAGAAGCCCACTCACTGAACCAGCTGCTATTTATTCCTGGAGTGGCCTCGCTCGTGGTGTATGCGTGCAGAGCTGACACACCGTGAGTAAAGTCAGGTAACTAAGAGGTCCTTAGAAAAAGGAAGCAAACTGAGTCTAAGCAGGGGTGTGTGTGTGCGCGCACACACATGCATGCATACATTAATTGACTGGTTGATTGATTTCACAGGACAGAGGACTGAACTCAAGGTCTTATGCATGCTAAGTAAGAGTTCTCCCAGTTCACAATTCATACATGATCACAGATATCATGGGACACAGACAGATGACAGAGATCCTCTGGGAGTCAGGAGACCGGCTGTAGCAGGAGAGCAGGGATCAAGCCAGCCCCCAGTGGAGCTGTAACAGTTGCCACCTAGCAGGTCTTCAGCTATTGCTGAACCTGGGCATACTGGCAACTTCACATTTCCACTCCATGCTGCTGTGTGTGGAGGAAACCACTGGTGGGAGGAATCGTCTAGCAACACCCAGTGCAGGAAATGAGACAAAAGTCAGTGGAACCCTCCCTGCAGAGCCCAGCACTCTGTGGCTTGGATTGGCACTGTGGAAGCTTTTGGTTCAAAACTAGAACTTAGCACAGAGGCTCAGCTCGCAGACTCAGGCCTTGATTCATCGCAGCAGCTGCGGTTGTTCCGCAGCGCACCGCCTTCAAATGGATCTGGACGCTCACCAGCCATGTGCGGCGCTGTCTCATCTCAGTGCCCGAGTCCTGGGAATGCCACCATCTGGCAATGGACGTGGGCTAGGACTGACGCCTTTTCGGCATCTTCCACAACATAACCTCAACCTTCAAATCTGCAAAGCCACCCTGGGAAAACCCAATACTGTGGGAAGAGGCAAGAAGAGACTGGCTAATGTCCTCCCCATGGAGTGGGGCTGCGGGGCACACAGATCTGTCCACTTCAGGTCCCACGTGGCCCAGGCACAGCCATTGGGTCAGATGCCACTGGAGTGTGCCCATTCTTTCCTTGGTCCCCACAATGGCAGCCTCCTGTCACCCATCCCTGTGCAGGTAGAAAGTAACTACTCTAGGGCAGGGGGTGAGGACACAACAGTGGACATTCAAGAGGACAGGCAGGGGACAGTGGACATTCAAGAGGACAGGCAGGGGACAGTGGACATTCAAGAGGACAGGCAGATAGCGCTGTAGATACAGACAGTGGTGGAGTGCCTGCCTACCAAATGAGAGCCCCTGTGTTTGAGACTCACACACACAACCACATGCACGCACACATGCATGCACACACACGTGAGCACACACATTCATACACGTACAAACACCAGGTGTGATGGCACACACCTGTCATTCTAGCTCTTGGTAGACTGAGACAGGAAAATTGTGAATTTGAGACAAGACTAACTTGGAGAAGGGCACTAAAATACCACCGATCATCCCAGTCGAGCCTCCCTGGTCCTCCCTTGTGAGCGTGCTTCATGTCAAGTGCTGACCAGCTCGGGAATACCACTCACAGACTTGGTTTATGGACTGTGTGTGGCCCCTCTTGAGACTCAAGCTGGCTGGGTCCTGTGGTTTGCAGAAACTGCTGGGAGACAGTATGGTCCACATGCCACCAGCCCAGAAAAGAGCAGGATTCAAAATATAAAGCATGGCTTCTGAAAGCAGACAGTTCCTGCACCGTGGGTCACCTGAGGAACCACGAGTTCATCTATTCTAAGTAGGGATTGTCTGCAGAGCCACACTCCTGCAAGAAATGGTTCCCCAGTGACCCTGTCCTGGCCTCTAGCAACATCAGACTTCCTTTCCCCTGTGTGTTGGCCCTTACTGGATGTTTGATATCAGTGAGGTCTGTGTCCCTCTGCCCCGTCTTTCTCTCAGCTCCTCTCCAGACAGGACCTAGTCCCTGGGCTTTTCTCTGTGGCCCAGGTCAGCCTCTCCTGCCTGTCGCCTCTGACCTGAGGGGTAGGGTCTGGACCCTTGATGGACTCAGACTCAGCTGGAGGCTCACCGGCTCTGCTTCAACTTCGTATCTCTCCAACAGGCATGTCCCCAGCACAGGCCAGCTTCCTGGATCCCAGACAGGGTTCTGAAATTCCCCAACAGAAAAGCTGCCCACTTAAGGGAGACAGACAGCAATTATACTGGGTAGCTGCCTCCATGCAGGGGAAGCAGCGTTTCCAGGTAGCACGTCCTGTGTCCCTCTGTAGATATATATCATCCTAATCCACAGGTTTCACTGTCCCAACTGCTCCATCCGTGGCTCCCCATCAGGCTTCAGCTCCCTGGGGCCCTCAGTCTACAGTCATATCCACAAAAGAGTGACAGGGACAATCATATAAAGGGTTTGAAGAGGTTGACGAGTGAGCCCCAGTGATATGCAGTACAGAACTATTCTGGACAGCCCCTCAAAGATGGATACAAACTATCAGACCCCCAGGCCAGCTGCGTGTCTGCAGGGTGTTACAATCCATCCCTGCTCCCTGTAAGTAAACATCCGCCTTTTCAAGCTCAGTGGCCAGTTCCTTCCTACAATTTGTGCTATTTTGGGACACTGCTGTCACCGGAGAACCCAGTCATCAAGCAGTCTTCGATCCCTCTTGCTTTTCTTCAGATTGGAGTTGGCAAACTACAGCATTGAAGCTAAGCCGGCCCTCTGCCTAGCTTTGCAGATAAAGTTTTACTGAACCCAGACACTGAAGCCTCTTTCAGAAGCCACTGTCTTTGCTCACCAAGCAAGACATTTACGGTCATCCTTTACAGAACAAATGACTCTAGTGTGTGTACTGGGGTCCCTCAAACACAGGGTCCCCAAAGCCAAGACTGGCTCTGGTAATATTTCCAGCTACAGCCGGCTCCTTCCTGGAGTCTCTCCCAGTTCCGCCTGAGAACTATGGAAAATGCTATTCATACCATCAGAAAGTTGGGGATTTTTGTTTGTTCTATGAGACAGGGTCTCACATGGCTGACCTCAGATTCACTACGTAATCAAGGATGGCAGTGGGCTCCTGATGTCCCTGA